AATCAAAAAAATTAAAAGAAAATAAATTATTAAAATGAAGAAAAAAATTTAATTGCAAAGATAAAATAAAATTAATTCTAAACATTAAAAAAAAATTTTGAAACAATAAAATCTAATAAATACATAAAAAATAATAAAAATTAGAAAGTAAAATAAAAGCCGGTTTCACCAGCAATTTAAATGGAAAATGTTTTTTTATTTTCTGTCAATTTCCATATAAAATTACAAAAATTAAAATAATTTTTCACTTAAATTGCTTTTGTGAAATTGGCTGTAAGTGTATAAAAATTTAGTTAAATTTAAAAAATACACTCGTATAATGCATTTTTTCAAGTGCAAACATGAAAATGAAATTTAATTAAAAAAGAAAAAAATTAACTGAAAAATGAACAAAAAAATCCGCAGTCCGAGGACTCGCCTCGGATCTCTCGAATTAGCACGCTAGTGCGTTGCCCACTCGACCATGCAATTGTTAGAGAAGCGCGAGCAATATGATACCCAAGTGCTTTCTCTCAAAAGAGCTGACAAGGGAGCTCTTTTCAGGAAGACTTTCGTGCCAGAATAAATGAAGTCTTTCAAAGGACTTCAGCCTTTGCCAGAATTGCCGTGTAAAGGTTGGATTAACTTTAAAATCATTGTATATGTTCGTTGCAGACGTTACCTACGCCTTTTTGCCGTTAAGAAATTTAATTTTTTAAAGCGATATTAAGGTATTTTATTTAAAGAAACATTACATTAATGTATGCATATGTAATGGGCTATGCTATTCTGGATACAAAAAAATTAGAATTAGAATTACACGTTTTTGGTTGACTAGCCCATCATATATCGTATATGTAGTATATAGATACGTAAATATAAGCACCAAACACAAAAACTATTTATCCAGGGATGGGACCGCTGTCACAAATTTCGATCCACCACGCTTTTCATCTTCATCACAAGAAACTTAAAAATTTTTGTGATATAACTACTTGAACTTACCGAGTATAGCACGCAGATGTCCTTCCAATGTCTGCAATATTGTTTGCTTTATCTCCTTAACGCTCTTGCCCAGAAACTGTTCGCTGGCGGTGCCCAACAATTCGTCAGCCTGATGGTGAAAATAATACACGTTCATCATCTGCACGCAGGCAGAAGGTTGTTGGTGTTGTTGAAATTGAAGGAAGATGGATGAATGAGGGTGTTGGTTGGTTTTATTGTTGGTTTATTGATTGGTTGATTGATTGATTGGTGGTTGGTAGTTTTTGTTTTATTTTGGTGATGGTTATTGATGAAGTTTTACAATTGTTTTTTTTTTATTTAGTTTTTATAAATTTTTTTGGTAATAGCAAAAGAGAGAGAGAAAAAAAGAAAACAACATTTAAAAGCTGAACAACGGTAATCGTTAAAGTAAAATGACAAATTTCTAAATAACTATCAATACATCAATTTACATACAATACATTCAATTGGTTATGGAAAAATGGACATAAACGTAGTGAACAATTTTATGTTGACACGAACAAGTTTTGGCAACAATGTATGAAAGACATTTGCGTTTCGTTTTATAAATACATACATACAGATGTGAATGTAAAGCACCAATGGAGTAGTTGCAATGAGACTTTTAGAAATGATTCTGCAGCGAATAAACAAAATCGAAAAATAAAGTTTTAATATATTTTTTTTTACATTTAAGGACTGCACCGAATAAGATTTTCCGTCATACTTTTTCCCATGTTTTACTATTACTACTGAAATTTGCAAATAAAATTTTTTGTATCATATTAGCTAAGTCAGAAAATAATGGATGTGTTTCGTTATATAAAAAAATATTTTACGCGAAAATTGAAACAAAATAGAAATTGCGAGAAAACATTATTAAAATTGTTTAAAAGCAATCTGATTGATCTTTTTAAAAAATTATCTAAGAGGTGAGTATTGTCCCAAAAAAACCATACGGGTTGTTGGTCGATTTAATGTCGAAAGAGGGGTTTCGGTAAATAGAAGATCGCGAAAAGGTAAGGAAAATCAAAGCTGAACAATTACAATGAGAAAAAAGTTCCAGAAAAAACTCAATCAAAAATGGTACTGAAATAGAAATATTAAAATTGCAGAAACACTATTTTTTATAAATTCGTATGATGCATAATGGCGACCAGAAGTATTAAACGTACATAGAGGGTTTTTGTCATCTTCCAGGACAGGAATTTCATACAGCCTCTTTCCTCAAGAAATGCCGCTAGCCAAGTGGCAAAATGGAATGTTGAATAATATAGAAAGTAATGTAACACCTTTGTAGCCGACACATTAAAAGATGCATAATTTTTTATATAGGCAGGATTTGAACACGCGACCAACAAGTTGGCAGTCTAACGCGCAATCATTCGGCTACGGTGGCTGTTACGATAACGTTAAGAAAATACATACATACTTAAATTCGTTCCAAAGTTTTGCTTGAGGCTTCAAAACTCCACATTGCCCTCTCGCTTATATTGCGATGCATCTTTTCGTTTAATCGCGGTCGTTAATCTGTTCGTCTGTACCAAAGAACGTAAATCTATAAGAGGAGACAACACGTTATAATTGTAGCGAGTGTGAACATGAGGAGCGTGCCTTCTTTTTTCATCCAATCACAAAACGTATTTGGGCAAAAGAGAAAGCACGCTCCTGATGTTCCCACTCGTTACAATTATAACGTGTTGTCTCTTCTTATAGATTTACGTTCTTTGTCTGTACAGAGCTCTTGTTTAAAGGGAAATGAAGGTAAAAAAAATTTGGCCAGCTGTGTGGTTGTTAGACACTACTTACTACATATAAAAACGCTTATTGGCGGGGTCCGTTTGTTTTAAAAAATAATACCTCTTGTTTCTTTATCACTTTATGTAATTGGGTATTAATTATAAAAATAAATTCTTAGTTGTTGAAAATCTGATAAACTGGTTCAAAACATACATACTAACATATATGCATACACATGAACTTGCTTCATTATTTGCAGCGAACAATTTTATTCGGCTAAGTCCTTATTTAAGCAGATTAGTAATAAACAAACAAACATCCATACATACACAAAATACCAAATTCATGAGAATGACTTTTTACAAATGCAAATATGGCTGCCAATTCGTTTTAATGTACATTAATGGGGTTGCCTGAAAACAAGAGAAAGTACATATTAGGGTTTCCGATTATTCGCCTTTTCCCAAGACCGGTTTTCGAGTTATTAAAAAAATTGGAATTTGAAAAAACCGGTTCCCGATTTTGAAATTAAGAAAAAACCGGATAAATCGATTTTATTTTACATAGTTTTCATACAGTGAAAATTCTTAGGTTGCTATGTTTGTATCTAAGATGAATGAAGTTGTAGAACGAATCTATTTTAAAATTTCCTTGGACGGTATGGAAAGAGAACAATGATTAAGAAAGGATTGAAAAGAAAACAGAGGTTTATATGAACTTATTTCCGATATAACCTAGTCATGGCCAGCGTTGCCGCTTTTCTTTATTTATCATCTTTGGTAACTTATATTCCAATTTGGTTACTTTTTCGATTCGGCCCTACATGTAACATACGTCAAAAGAAGTTCTGATTTTACATTACCAAGTGGGCCGTAAGCGTTTTCTTTTATAGAAATACCAGATAATCCTGAAAGTTTACAAAGGCGAAAAGTTCTTCGGTGTTACTTGGTTACTAGAATTGTGTGATCTCTAACAAACTGCCTGAAAGTGGCTATTGCCATATCTACCGTGTCCCTTTCCAGTAGGTAGTGGATGGTCCTACCTTTCCTTGTCAGTTCGTCAGCTTTGCAATTGCCATCAATATTCCGGCGTAACCCGGAATTCTATGTATGTTCTCGTTCAAAAAGCTACGGTCAGTAGGGGACTTAACTTTGTCTATGTGTGAGTCGAAAGCTTTCAAGCCTGCGTTGAATTTTTGAGATATTTTCGCCCACTTGTTGACGTACGTATGTATGTATGTATGTATGTATGTATGGTTATTGGTCATAACTGGACAAATGTTGATTTTAAAGTGCTCCAAAATTTTAGGTTTATTTGCAAAAAAACCGCCCTCATAAAAAGTCTAACGGTGTCAAGTCGGATGATTTCAGTGGCCAAATGACATCCCCTCTACTGGAACTTATGCGCCTAATAATTAACTCTGTTGCAATGAACCGTATCCATGACACTGTGAATGATCAGATATCTTCAGTGGCTTTGTGGCCAGAGCTTTGCATGGATGGAGATGTATATCCAAATGCAAAATATACCATTATGAGCCATAAGACAGCACCATGTTCTTAATTCTTCGGCCATACTTAGGTTTGAAACCCTCTCCATGAGTTTCTGTTGTTGTGACTTTAGCGTTCACGCAGATATAAAAATTATAACGGAATGGACGCTGGTTGCATGAAAAACTTGGTGTCTTCGGATATATGTACAGACATATCTACATATGTACAGTTCTGCACATAAAATAAGTTTGGTAATTTTTTGTTGAATTTGGTAACTTTTTCTGGTGATTTTGGTAAAAAATTAAAAAAGTTTGTGGCACAACTGCCAGAATTAAGAGTATGGTGACTCAGCGCAAAGACGGATTTTATCGCTTTTTGCATATTTTAAGTAAATAAACATAAATGTTTTTTTGCAGTAAAGTTAAATAAATATTATTTGCGACGATGATACGCAAATTTTTTGTGTGTGGAGATTTTTGACCTAGTTAGAAATTTTAATGATAATCGAATTAAATTTTTTAATACTTCCATAGAAGATTCTCAATTTTAGCTCAAATCATTTGTTTATGATGACATATTAGGAATGTGAAGAATGGATGAGCAATGCCTTTGGGGTAAACCTTATCCCAGCGCACTGTATTTGTACCAATGCTTTGTACAACGTTACCAGTGCCCAGATTTAATTAGCAAAAAGTGTCAAAAACCTAAAATTTAGAACAGTTGAGTATGCAGATGTCTTGCATTCATTGCAGATGATATACTGAAAAACTAGGAATATTCGTTCACCCAGTTCGCAGAAATTTCCAACTTTTTTAAACCAGTAAAAGAGTAAAATTTGTATCGCACTGAATATTTTATTTTAAATAATTGGAACGGATTTAAAAAAAACATTTCTATGTATGTGCATAAGGTGAACAGTCGCAAATAAAAGAAAAACCATCAAATTAGAAGTAATATTTTTCTTTGGTGACGAATTTCAGGTTTTTAAAAATGATATACATGTTTTTCAGGTCGTTGAATTCGATTCTGATGATAGAATCGCGAAATAAAAAATGGTTGATTCAGTATGCCGGACTGTACCTACAAAAATGCATAACATACGAGTTTTGGATAGCAACCGCCATATTGGTTCTGCTTATGGTTTGCAGCGATTAATCGTTTGATTAAATTAATCAATTATTTTTGTCCAATTTACAATTTAATTGTATCGTAGTTTTGTGTTTCATTAATCGATTAATTGTAAGATAATCGTAAAAATATTTTCAAGAAATATGAATACTGTAGCTGCCTAAAATTTCAAACAGCCGCAAGAATTGCTCAAGATTAGAGCACACAATGGTGTAAATAGTTGTGTATGTAAGCCCATTAGGGCCCTCAGCCGCTGTAGTGTAGTGGTAAGCAGTGCGCGCTTCCACTCCGCAACGCCGTGCACATTGTGCAGTTTTGCCTTCGTGTTTTCACACCAACGCTGACGATGTGTAACGAATTTATGGTTTCGCCATGGTAGCCAACTCATTTTTGAGAATTCCCCGATTTCGACAAAGAAATTCCCCGATTTTGCTCGAAATTTCGTAAAATTCCCCACCCTCCTTATTAAGCAAAAAAATTGTATGTATTTTGGTATTTTGCTGGTATTTCTGTTAATTTTATTTTTAAATATGTACTATAATTCATCTATGTATTCATAAACCAAACCAAACATTTATTAAGTTTGTCAACAAATTGTTTGATCGTTTGTGCGAAACCGTCAACTCGATGCCAATTCTGCTTCACGTAACAGTTTGAAATACCACGTAGTATTAAATAAACGTGCGTTATTGCACGATAGTGAATTCAATATCGATCAAAAGAAAAATTTGAACGAGCCACAAAATGGCATACGGCTCATTTCACAGTGACGGGTTAG